GACCGTCTGACCCCCCCCCCCCCCTTCAGCACCTCAGGCGATTCAGAACTTGCTGTAAAGACTGCTGCAACGATTGCTGGATGAAAAAATCGGCATAAAAGTGCATTTGTTTGCAAGAGACTGAGAGGAGCTGGTATTCGTGCACGACATCCGTACATTGGAAATCCACCAGCGCTAAGTCGTCGCAAAAGACATATGGATTAGTTAAAACGGTATTCCAAAAGAATTTGGAGGCGTCGACAATGACATAAACTTCACTTTTCTACTTGCAACACATGATGTGTTAAATTTTTATCAAAACACTCTAAAATCATTTTTACAAAAATAAGGATTAAATTGAAAACTTCGATTATCATGTTTAATCTGAATATGCGTTTCTTTTTTTGTTGAGTATATAAGGCTGCAGAGAATAGATAAAAGCTGCAAATTGTAATGGTGTTTTTTCATACTATGATTATTATAATGATGAATACAAAATGTTATTTTATATAAATTTTCCCTTTCAGAAATAAGTTTTGAATCATTTGGGAAAAAAATTAAATGCACAATAAAATATAAATACTGCATTTTTAGTCAGATAAAAAGGAACAAATAAACTAATTCTCTTCTTTCAAAAAAAAACTTTTTTTGGATTTTTTATTCGCCAGCAGCATCATTTCCACGTTAATATTAATTAATATAAATGTAATACATGTATCTTTTAGATGCCATCTTGTATAAACTGTGTATTTGTTGTATCAATGTAAACTAGAATGAATCTTATAACCAGTTTGAAAACTAGATTTAAACCTTAAACCAAAATCTGAACCAGTTTTTGTGCACAAACGAAGTTTCGGGGGTATATAGTTTTTGTCGTGTCCGTCCGTCTGTCTAGCTGTCTCTTTGTCTGTTTGTTAGCAAACACTTTGACCTTGCCCATAACTTTTTATTTAGTGGAGCTGTGACATTCATATATCACATGTGTATTTCTTGTGAAAAGATCTTTCTTTGGTTATCACCTTGGTGATTGAACTTTTACTTTGGCCATATATTTTAAACAGTAGATACAGGACATTTATACTTGACATATGTATTTTTTGAGGAAAGATCTTTCATTGGATACCAACAACCTGGACCTTTTGACCCTGACCTTGAAGATTTCTGTTCTTATGAATAAACTTTAACCTTTGTTATAACTTTTGAACAGAAAGTGCTAGGGCTTTCATACTTCACATATGTAATTCTTGTGAAAAGACGCTTCATTGGATACCAAGAACCTTGACCCTTTGGCCTTGACCTTGGAGTTTGACCTACTTTAAAAAATACAACCTTGACCATATTTTTTTAAGGGTAAGAACTAAGGCTTTTATACTTCATAAATTTAATTTTTGTGACAGGGCCTTTCATTCGATATCAAGAACTTTGACCCTTTAACCTTGACCTTGGAGTTTGACCCACTTTTACACAAAAATTCCAAACTTTTACTTTGGCCCTAATTTTTGAATGGTAGATACTAGGAATTTCATATTTCAAATATCGATTCTTTTTGGAAAGACCTTTCATTTTAAACCAAGAATTTTTACTTTTGACCTAGACCTTGGAGAAAAAACTTTACCCTTGGTCATAACTTTTGAATGGTAAAGGCTAGGGCTTTCGTACTTCAAATATGTAATCTTTGTATGAAGATCTTTCATTGCATATCAACAACTTTGATCTTTGACTTTGACCTTGGAGTTTGACCTACTTTTTTCAAGGGTTAACATTGACCATAAGTTTTGAACAGTAGGGGCTAGAGCTTTCATATTTCACATATCTAATCCCTGTGACAAGACCTTTCATTGGATATCAAGAACTTTTTCCCTTTAACCTTGACCTTGGAGTTTGACCTTCTTTCAACAAACTTTAACCTTGGCCATAACTTTTGAACGGTGAGGGCCAGCGCTTTCATACTTCCCATACGTAATCTTTGAGACAAAGCCTTTCTTTAGAAATCAACAACCTTGACCATTTGACCTTGACCCCGGAGTTTGTCCTACCTGTAAAAATGTTAACCGTGCTCATAACCCTTAAACAGGCGGTGCTAGTGTTTTATATTTCATATTTGTACATATTTAAATCTAATGCTATTGTTGTTGATGAAAATCAATGCTTGGAATTTTCAAAAAAATGGTGAAATTTTGAGCAGAGGGATATTTTACCTTCAGTCTAAAAACTCATAAAAATTTAGATATATACGTTCATTAAAATAATCATAATAATAATGCACGAAAAGGCAAATTCTCTTTTCAAGGGAACATGTATATGAATCGATAATTTGTTTGATAAATGGACTGATACAATTGAAACAAATGAAGTCATTTATAAAATTTAAGAAGCACTAGTGCATTTCCTTAGCTTTAATCTACTGATTATGTATTTCGATTCCAATTGCACTCTTTATACCCCTGCTTGAAAAGCGGGAGGGTATATAGTAATCGTTGTGTCTGTCCGTCCGTCCGTCTGTCTGTTCATCCGTCCGTCTGTCTGTTACGCTTTGGGGTACCCATCTCTTATCCACAACTCCTCTCTTACCACTGAATGAAATTTGATGAAACATTCACAGAATCTTTATTATATAATGCCATTGTGCACCGCCTATTTTATTTACTTTTTGATCTGACACATATTTTGGTTTCCCACAAGAAAGCATGGACAATTCCATTATATTCATATGGGAGGCGGGGGGGGGGTATCATTTAGTGAGCTCGCTCACAGTACTTCTAGTTTATTTTTATTCTTGATTGTAAACTTACAAATTATAATTATGTACAATAAAGAAAATATTAACTTTGTGAGCATGCGCGAATCTAGAGGAGGGGGGTCAGGACCCCCTTGGAATTGACAAGGTTAAAAAATGTATTACTTAATCAAGAGAAAAAAGTTACCATGGACCCCCTTAAAAAAGCTTACCCCCTGGTAAATGCGTATATATGTGAAATGGGTATAGAAAGAGAAATATTAGAAGCAATAGTTGTCATAGATTACCTCCTGCTTTACTTTAATACTTTAAGCGTAACATTCCTCTGTTTGGATAGATATTCCCAACCCCACTCCCACCCACAAAAATCCTTTGGTGACAAATAGTTGTATTATCAATTCAAAAACTATCAGACGCAAAATTTGACTTCTATCATCTTTTGGCGATAATTTTTTAAAGTTATTTTTAAAAAAACTAACCTAAAACTAGAAGTATTCTGAGTACTGAGCTCACTAAATGATACCCTGCCTCCCATACAGTTATAATCGAAAAGTCAATGTTTTGCTCTGGGAAACCCGAAATTAGAGTCCGATCAAAAAGTAAAGTAAGAAGTAAATAATGGCACTATGTAACAGAGGTTTCGTGTAAATCTCATTAAATTTCATTCAATGGTAAAAGAGAAGTTGTGGATATCGGAATCCCATGACATTTTCGTGTGAAATCTCTGTTCTTTAAACTGATATATGTAAAATTATAGACATTTTTTGTGCTTTTTGCATCCGATTATACAAATTCTGAAAGTTAAATTAATTGTTTCACAACTGGTATTGAATCTTGCAACATTTAAATGGAAAAACTAGCAATAAAAATTTTAGCTATACAAATCTAAAACAAAGTACAAATATAATTTTTATTTCATGTGGAACATTTGTATTACGAATAGTAAAAAAAAATTACAGATAAGACATACACACTTTCCTTTGAGCTTCATACAAAACAGAGAGGGCTTATCCTATGAAGAGTCTTCCCATGATGAATATAGTGGGTACAATAGTCTCTGTTTTGTTTTTGTTCAATATCTGTTTTTCCATTGAATTCTTTCTATATTATATAACTTAAGATATTTGATATATTTGTTTTTATTTGTGTAATTTTAATTAAAAAACCTTAAGCTTGTCTTACTTAATTTTTTTTTAATCATTTACTTTTTTTAAAGGGGGGTGGGTGGGGCAGAATATACAAAAAACCAATACTGTCAGGTTTACAGTATGTATTAGAATGTACTATTTTCAAACTCATCAGTTTAAAACATTTTTGTCTTGCAAAAAGCATAAACAAAATGTGTGGTTAAAGGGAGATGATATACATTTTTTAACGTTTTACTGAAACACTAAAAATATCTCGAGAATCTATAAGTTTATAAACTCAAAAAATTATCTTGTCATTGTTTGCATATAAATTTCTACATAATTTAAATTCTTCTTTATTTATTACTTAACTACATGTATCTACCAATGAATATATCAAAATAAAGGTTAAAAAAAGATGTAAATGAATTTATGTTCATGAATGAACTGATTAAACAGAAGATACTTTGTATAATAAAACATGATAAGTGAAGAGCTCTAGATAAGAAATCCCAGAATAAGTAAATGTAAAAAAGAAGTGCATGTGCCATTTTCATTTTAGTTGTTACATTTGTATTACGAAAAAAATAGCATTTTTTAGATGAGTTTTTGAACTTCACTTTCTTCATAAACACAGAGAGAGGTTTCCTGTAAATAGTCTGTCCACGAGGAATATAGTGAGTATAATAGTCTCTGGTTTGTCTCTGTTTTATATTTGCTTTATCAATGAATTCTTTTAATATTATAAAACTCTACATAATTGATATACATGTGTATTTTCATTTCATAAATCTTGTCTTGTCTCATTTTTTAATCATGAGATTAACTTTAAAAAAGGTGTGGGGATAGAATGCACAAAAGGTAGAGGAAGACAGTACTATCAGGCATTCAGTATGTATTCAAAAGTATTATTTTCAAACTCACTAGTTTAAAACATTTTTGTCTTGCAAAATGCATCAACAAAATATTCATGGTTAAAGGGAGATAATATACATTTTTTAAACGTTTTACTGAAAACACTATAAAATCTTCGGAAATATCAGGAGAATCTGCTAGTTTATAAACTAAAAAAAAAGCATGTGCCATTTTCATTTTCTGCTTAACATTTGTACATTTGTATTGCGAAAACTAAAAAACTAAAAAAATACTTTTTTTAGATGAAACATTCACACTTTCCTTTGAACTTCTTTTTCTTCATACAAAACAGGGAGGGTTTTCCCATCAGGAGTCTGTCCATGATGAATATAGTGAGTATAATAGTCATTGGTTTGTTTTATTTGTTTTTTTCTCATTGAATTCTTTTTATATTATGAAACTCTAGATATTTGAAAGACATTTGGGAACAAGTATCTGTCTAGCATTTATTTAAAAAATCTTGATAAATGAAGAGCTCTAGATAGGTAATAACCAGAATAATCTCTACAAAATATTTTTAAAAATGCATGTGTCACTTTCATTTTAAGCCTAACATTTGTACACTGTATTGCGAAAATAGAAAAAATACATTTTTTTTTCAGATGAAACATTTATACTTTCCTTTGAGCTTCTTTTTCTTCATATAAAACAGAGAGACTTTTCTCATCATCTGTACATGATGAATATAGTGAGTATAATAGTAATTGGTTAGTCTAATTTGATATTTCTTTTTTTCATTGAATTCTTTTTATATAATAAAAACTCTGAATATTTGAAATACATTTAGGTAGTAGTATCTGTCTAGCATTTATTTAAAAAATCTTTCATTTTTTTCTTAATTCATAAGATTTACTATAAAAGGGCGAAGAAAACTGAATGTACAGAAGTTAGAGGAAACCAGTACTGTCAGATATATGGTATTTATTAATTAAAAAATGTTTTTTAAACTAAAAAGTATAAAAGATTTTTTTTCTTGCAAAATAAATTTTCGTATCAAAAGTAGTTAAAGGGAGATAATATATATAATTCGTTTACGTTTACTTAAACTACTATTAAGTAGTATAATATCACGAAGATCTACTAGTTTATTCTATTAAAATCAGATGACCATCTAATTAGGGTCAACATGTTTAAAATGTATATAATTATGTACATTTTTACATAATTCACAAACCTTTTTTGATAACTATTTAATTATCTAATCAATCTAAATGAATTCATGAACAAATTAATGGAAAGAAAAGGTACATCATATCATAAATTACATGCTAAATAGAAAAACTCTAGAAAAAAAAATCCAAGAATATTAAAATAAATACATAAAATATTTAAAATTCATATTTATGAGTGTCAGTTTGAACACTCTTTTCTTATTTTTTCTTCATCTTTGATTTTTTTTTAGTGAAACTCAAAGCAAAGAATACCAGCATCAAGTGTGATGGAAAACTTTGCAATAAAGAAAATTTCGATGGTATCGTATCGTAACGGTCACGTGACTAGCCTATGTATAAGATTGCTTTTTTTATTTAGTTTGTTGTTACTGCTGCTGCTGTTGTTGTTTTGTAAAATAAATGTGATAACTATCTACAGAAAAGACTTAACATCAACCTAGGTGAGAATGAAAATGACAAGAAAAAAATTGTCCGATTTTAAAAATCCCTTTTCTAGGGGAGGGGTTTACAATGTCCTTCAGAACGCGAATATAATTCATTTCATTTCTTCATGATTTGGCTATATTACGGAGGTGTTGGAAGCAAATTGAAAGTGGGTAGTTGGGGGGGGGGGTTATTGAGAGTGGTCGGCTAAACCATTAAAAAAAAGGCAAGCTCCAATTTTCAATGCCTATATTATGTCTATATTTGCAAAAAACATTTTGAATCCCTTATTATTAATTTCATTTACATTTGAAAATTTCATCAAGTCTTCGACTGTTTAAATTTTTTTAGCGAAATTCATTGTTGTATAGTTATTTTGAGAAGCAGAAAAGAAGATATTTTCATACGCCATATTTCCGCCAAAAATTTAGTCCCTGCTAGACTCCAAACTTAGTTTACCATTTCTATTTGAAGTTGTACAATTGTGAGGAGGAAAGAAAAAATACAATCTTTTTAAGCTAGTCCAATCCTCAAGTTTATAAAATTAGCAGTTAAATGATCAAAAATACTCATAAAAGTATATCTAAATCCACTAAGTTATGTAAATTTACCCACAATATTTCTTTAAAGTTAAAGATTAAAGTTAATGATATTATATAGGGAAAATTGTCAAATCTCCAATATTTTTGCAGAAAAAGCGAATTGGAATATCAGCAATGAATTTTCTAATTGCAAATTGATCAACAAATATATTTTAGGTTAAAAATGATAGTTATCCAGGCATTTAGAGAAATTGTCATGATTTTTATACTTATTGGTTTTTTTTTTTTCTTCTATTTCTGTCATGTATTCTATAATACATAGTGTAAAAGGCTTTTGCTATCATTGTAAGACACCACAAATCACATCTTATTTCATATAGAAGGATATGGAGATAACGAACAGTATTCAGTCTCAAAGTCCATAAAACAATACAAAATAAGAGCAGAGCAAACACGGACCCCCGAAACATCAGAAGTGGGATCAGGTGCCATGGGGGAATGAGCATCCCCTGCCGACCGGTCACATATCATGCTAATAAGCATTGGTAACTAAGGTTGGATTCAAGAAAATCTCATTTCTCTAAAAATGTATTATTTTTTTTTCCTTTTGTAGAGTGCAAATGTCAACTTTTATAAGACCTTTTCTAAGACTTCCGAAAAAAACTTGAATCTTATAAAGATGAATAAAATGAAAATTGTTGCATGTAAAAATTATTTTCAAGCTTCATTTTGATGCATTTCAAATTAAATATTCATTTTTGGAGTTATGGTTGAGGATCGGATATCCTTAATTTCTTTCATTAGCGATGATCTAACTGATTATGTGGTTTTACAAATTCCTTTCAATAATAAAATGCTTTCTTGGATTGTTAGTACGGGAATTAACGACGCAGTTGTTGAGATAAAAACAAAAGCCCGGCCTTTTATGCAATTTTTTTTCTGCAATAGCTGTTACGTTAATTTCCATATTATTAAATAAGCAAAGGAAGCATTTTATTGATTATATTACATCTGTATGAAAAAAAAAATAAAAGTATAATTTCAAATATATCAAATACTGTATTATAGATGAATATGTCATTATATGCATAACTGATGGAAAAGCCAAGGTTCAAGAAATCTATACAGATGGCTTGCTCAATGTCCTTTATGCACTGATTATTAATGGCAATGGTCTTTAAAAAAAATAAAGGAAAAATATTCAGTAGATGGAAATATTTTGAGATTAAACTGACAACTGGAACTTTTACAGTTCAGATCCATGAACATCCTACTGATGATGGAGAAGGTTCGGCTACATTATACCAAAACCTTAAAGAAATAATCATTCATAAAACAGGTATTATTTAAATACACAATTGTTTTTTACTCTTTTTCTATATACATTTCAAACACATCAGCTATTTGTATTTGTTTTACAATAAAAAAGAGATATCCATGTACCTCATTTATTGCACATTACTCATAGATAACATTTAAACTCCAGAACGAGTATCAATGTAATGGCCAAAGAGAGAGAGGGAGCTGAGGTTGCCAAAACAGAAATGCCGAAGTATATTCTCGACTACTCCCTTTTAAACAAGATTTTAATATCTTAAATGTTTTAAAGTTCTAAACAGTATTATGATATTTAGGATCAAAAGAAACAGACAATCCAAAATGAATTTAAATATCCAAAAAACTAAATTCCAAATACTAATATAGAATGAATAAAATTAATAGAATGGAAATTTAATAACCGAACATTTTAATTGAGTAGTAAATATGTCTATACAAATAATCTTATCTTAATTAATAACGATTTCTAGAATCATAATACGAAAAGAATATGTACCTACCTATTTAATTTTTTGAAATAAGTGAATTAAGGAGTCAATATCTAGTTTGTTTTTTGGGTATGTCAGGGCATCAACGATGATTGGAAACGTTGGGGAAAATTATGCATAACCATAATAAAGGGCAAATCGTTGGTGTTCCTGGCAACCCCTACAAACTAAACAGTGATTCCTTATATTTCCATTTCATTGTAAAATAAAATTGTGTATTTCAAAAATGTTGTTTAAAAGATTTGAATTACATGGGGCCTCCCATGTCAGTTTCAATAGTCGCCGCCCACTGACGTCAGCCACCAAGATAGCCGCACGAGATTTACATACGTATGAGGCCTCGTCTTCGATAGTCAAGGTTTTCAGATACGCCACTCTCCTCATGAACCCTTGGTATACAGTGCAGTCAAAATAAAAAGGACTTTTTTACGGTGTGCACAGATTGCGTCATCGACAGAAAAAAGCGTATCATTCACAGCTTTAATATAGACTATTAATCACATATTTTGAAGATATTGGATGACACTATATTAAGCTATTCATAGAGTGATAACGGATCGTTGTTTACTTGCGTTTTTCATTCCAGATATTAAAAAATCAAGATACATGTACATGTATATCCCGAACGCAGATATCGACATTGAGAAAAACAAATGCTGATTGGTCGAGCGGTGTCGATCGACCCCAATCACAACTTGAGAAAAAATTAACGATTTTTTTAACATCGTATGTCAAGGGTTTTTAAAGAAAGTATCATATCAGACACCCTAGGCTAGCGAAGATGATGAGACCACCTTAGCTCCTGACCTTTTGCTTGGCAAAATTTACATTCCCGTAGGAGTATCAAGAAATCACTCACCTAACTTTTAAAAAGTTATCACAGAGAAAAAAAGGGAGAAAAAAATATTACTTTATTTTTACATTTCTAACGTCTTCGTCCGAGATAAAATTACAATGAACTTTATTTCCTCATCAATGCACTGGTTCATCGAAAGGCGCGGTTAAACAAAATCACGTGCAGGGCGGGAAAAATAGAGACAAGAAGCGGTGCTTGTAGCTCGTGGATTGGCGGAGTCTATAGCATGTAAATATAAGGAATAACTGTCTTATTTTTCAATTTCATGAAGATGATCAATCGATTGGCTTGCGTGATAATTTTATGCATAAACGAATTCGGCGTTTAAAAAATTATCACGCAAGCCAATCGATTGATCACATCATAAAATCGAAAAATAAGACAGTTATTCCTTAAATTAAAAGTTAAACTTGTATCTTAAAGGATCGCGTCCAGTTGATGCACAGCATGTGTATGACTTGGACAAACACATCGATGAATTCCCTCATCCACCACCATGGGACATAAATCATGACAGCACTGGAACACTATTATGGACAGAACCTGAACTCTCCACATTCATACATGGTCTGGCAGGTCAGTTAAAACTAATAAAATCATGAACATGCGTACTATATTACAGTAATATCAATCAATATAGAAGGTGAAGTTAACGAACGTACAGCGATTAAAAAAAATCCATAAACAGTAAAAAGAGGGAATAAAACACAGACCCTGGAAATTCCGCAGGTGGGAGCATTTGCCCTAGGAGGAATAAGCATCCTCTGTTGACTAGTCACTTCCGTCTTGAGTCAAGAAAGGTTATTTAGAGAACCGGTTGAAATGGTGGGGAAAAAATCTTTCCAAGATTTCAAAACACCGGACTTTAGAGCTTTCTCCATTTAGGGGTATCTATATTTTCACATACTAGCTGAAAGCACATGACATTAATCAAATCTATTGTCTGCTGTAGAGTCGCGGAGTACGTAGTTGATCCTTAAGCGTCGCTGATTCGAATCCCACTTAAGGCCATGGAGACCTATCCTTTGAATGAGACCGAATAAACACAGGTCTCAGATCGAAGTAGGTATTAGAACAAAAAAGATCCCTCACTCTAAATGGGCCTGAGAGCCAAGTGAAGGTATAAATTTGCAGCCCTCCGCCGGGAAATTGTGGTGTCTCCATAATGAAAAATTCTCGAGAGGGACGTAAAACAACAAACAATAATTCTAATATTAAATAATATTAAAACGCATTCTGATTGCACACACAAGTACTCTGAAGTTGACATAAAAAGATGCTTCAGTTTCTGATTGACAATATCTTTGTGGTTTTTGGAGACCAGGTCTTCCAACAATCTATTGGAAATCCTATGGGTACCAATTGCGCTGTTATTAGCAGACCTATTTTTGTATTCATATGAAGCAGAATTTATGCAAAATTTTATGCGTGAAAAGAAAAAAAAAACACCTACTGTGGCCTTCAACTCCACATTTAGATATATCGACGACGTATTGTCATTTAACAAAGGGTAATTTCCATTCCTATGTCGATGCGATATATCCTGGTAAGCTTGAGATAAAAGATACCAAAGAGTCTGACACATCTGTTTCATACTTGAATATTTTACTTGAAAAAGGCGTTAATAGTAATTTAACAACCAAACTCTTTGATAAACGTGGTGACTTGAACTTTCCTATCGTCAATTTCCCTTCCTTATGCAGCAATGTACCTTCGTCACCTGCATACGGAGTTTGTCTATTTGTTGATTCGATACGCAAGGGCATGCTCTATGTAGGAACAATTTCTAAAACGAGGTCAATTATTGACAAAAAAGTTGATGAAACAAGAATATCAGCAGTCTCGTTAAAAGTTATCATTTTTTAAGTTCTATAGCCGATACAATGACCTTGTCAGCAAATACATACAATTTATCATTGAGTCAAATGCTGACTGTCATTTTTCATACTAATTGTTCTAGTCCATTTTTATAACTGAATGGACGACGGATTTTTCCGTTATTACCCGATATTGACAAGGAGCACACGGCAGGAGTAACCGGTTGGCAGGGGATGATTACTCTTTCATGACACCTAATCCAACTTCTGATGTTTTGGAGGTCCGTGTTTGCTCTGCTCCTATTTTACTGTTCGTTTGTATCTTTATATCCTCCATATATATTGCTTTCAAACCCACGGTGTCACGGTGAATACTTTAAATAAATATAATATTTATATTAAATTTTTGCCTCAAAAAGAGACTAAAACGTTCTTTTATTTATTATTCCCCTACCGATGAAACTGGGAGGGAACTACATGTTTCCTCTGCGTCCGTCTGTCTGTCCCTCTGTCTGACTGTTTGTCTGTCCATCTTTGAATCTATCTCAAGTCATAGAATAATATTAAATTATTTTGTGTCTTTAATGTTGGACAAATACGGCCGTTTTAACTTTTTTTGTTTTACGCACTTTTTACAAAAAGCTTAAAGATATTGAGCTGATTTTAAGTTTGTGAATTACAGATCAAGTTTGAATTCTGTTCCGCTTCAATGAATTGAGGGTCTTTTAAAAATTTTATTGGAAACCAGGATCACACTTACCGATAGGGGACTAATATTGCTAATGCAATACTCTCAGAATGCTCGTTGTTTTTGTCGTAGGTTAAGGTTAAAATTCTACTTCTATCTTCTTCTCTTCCGTTGTTATACCTACAAATCAGAAGAGCTACAGTTCCGTCAAGGACTTTTGTTTTTAAATATAACTGCAATTTTATTATTCAAATTAGATTTTCCCCATAAATATAATAATAATAATAATATAAGTAATTATAGATAACTTCTGTTGTGATACGTTTTGTAGGATGGGATGATATCCATGAAGAAGATGTTTCGCATTACATGAACGTTTTTAAGCATTATCCTCAGACTGATGTTAGACTCATGTACAAACATATTATTAAGGAAATAGGTGGGTAACTGAAATGTTTTATAAAAAGAAGTTTTAGGAAAAAATATAATTTTTATGCTTATTTAACGATTTTCTTCAATAAATGCTTTTATGTAATAAAAATTAAGTTATATATGTAGGTGTAGAGAATTTGATTGCCCCCTTTTAAAATATCAAAAACTAAACAGCCTACATAATAAAATGTTGATTATATGTTAGAACATAGCTTTACAGACTTCTAGTCTTTGGTTTATGTATGCCTTCAATATTTCGCAGGACGTCGTCCTACAGTACAAGAACTCGGCTGTTTGTTACCAGTTCTTGAAGGTAATGAAGTTTGTGACTCCTCCCGTAAAACTCCAGGTACATAAAATGTTAAAATTATTCCCAATGTTTGCTTTTTTGTTCGTAAGATTTGTCAAAAATCGTTCTCATACACTTTTCTAAGTATTTCTTAGAAAAAAAGTTTCTGCAATATTATTACCCACTTTAAGTTTGCTTGCATTAATTTTTACTTACTTCTTACGTCATCACGTAAAATTGCATGGGTGTATTAATTAGAGGAAGAGGAGATTTATAAGAATGTGTACTTAGGAAACAACTAATTAATTGATTCCTTAGACATTTTTGACATCCTAGAATTCATTGTTTTAATTCTTTTTCGCAGTTTTCTACAAATTTTATGATTAAGTTATAAAACCGTTCTAATTTGTCTATTATTTTGAAGAAGTTGTATTACGGGATCTTTAGTAAATAATTTCACTCAGATCATATACAAAATAAACTGCTGAACACGACACGCATTATACTCGTGTTTTCAGTATAACGGAAGATACATAGATAAACATGATAGTATAATCTCTTGTCTGTTGCCCTAAAGAACAGTTTCATACTTATATGTTTATGATCTCAGAAAAAGCCCAAATGATTTTATTCATGGTTATTTAAATTCAAACGCTCAGAATGCTAGAATGCACTTTATATATCTGCCTTCTTTTATTCAGGTCAACTTCTTCTTGCAATGGAGGAATGCAAAAGCAAGTTACAACAGCAAAAGTCTATAAACAATGTCTTGAAGAGAGAACTTCAGCTGATGCAGAGCCGTAACAATGTCTTACAGAGCAACCTGTCGTCAGTGCACAATGGCATGAAGGCCTTGGAAGCAAAGAACAGAAAACTAATGATGGGATTGTTTGTTATGGTTGGATTTGTGTGTTTAATGGTATTTGGTCTCATACTGGCCTTGTAAAAGAAATTCACTTGGAATTTTAACCAGGTTTTCTTCATAAGAAATCCTCATTCCTTATATTTATTTTAATTTTTTTATCTATATTATACCTTATTTTTAGAAACAGTAAGGATGTTTAACGTTCTGAATTAGTGACTATTCTAAACAAGAAAAACTCAATGTTCTATTTTCTACATATTGTGCATAATGTATATTTTATTAAAATATATATTCATTAAGTTGTTCAATAAATCTTCGCACATTTACTTGCACATTCCATAAAACTGGCCATACTAATAAAAACATTAATCATGTATGTATTCATATTTTTGTAACATATAGAAAATATTAATAAATGTATTGAATATCATAACTAAAAATGAAATAAATATTTTCTTAATTACACCAGTGTACATATTTAGTGAGCAATTAATATAAAGAAAGATGATCAGTAAAATTAAAGACAAATTAATTAATATTCTACATTTCATACTTATCTTTTAAAATTCCCATTCTAAGTTAATGATATTTTTATTTTTACGAAACAGACTTTATTCAAAAACTTCTGAATGAGGAGAAGAAAACACTTGCTGTTCCTTCCGAAATTTAGATACAGAAAACTAATGATGAGATTGTTTGTTATGGTTGGATTTGTGTGTTTAATGGTATTTGGTCTCATACTGGCCTTGTAAAAGAAATTCATTTGGAATTTTAACCAGGTTTTCTTCATAAGAAATCCTCATTCCTTATATTCATTTTAAATTTTTTATCTATATTATACCTTATTTTTAGAAACAGTAAGGATGTTTAACGTTCTGAATTAGTGACTATTCTAAACAAGAAAAACTCAATGTTCTATTTTCTACATATTGTGCATAATGTATATTTTATTAAAATATATATTCATTAAGTTGTTCAATAAATCTTCGCACATTTACTTGCACATTCCATAAAATTGGCCATACTAATAAAAACATTAATCATGTATGTATTCATATTGTTGTAACATACAGAAAATATTAATAAATGTATTGAATATCATAACTAAAAATGAAATAAATATTTTCTTAATTACACCAGTGTACATATTTAGTAAGCAATTAATATAAAGAAAGATGATCAGTAAAATTAAAGACAAATAAATTAAAATTCTACATTTCATACTTATCTTTTAAAATTCCCATTTTAAGTTAATGATATTTTTATTTTTACGAAACAGACTTTATTCAAAAACTTCTGAATGAGGAGAAGAAAACACTTGCTGTTCCTTCCGAAATTTAGATACAAAGAGACTCTTTATTAATAAACAATTGTTACTTTCATTCATTTAATGTTTATCTTTTACGAATACTATTTATTACTAATGTATGCTTATACAACCTGTTCTTCATTTGTTTTTACTGTTATATAGAGTAACGTTATTAAAGGAGAAATCTGGCAGGTACACTATGTTAAAAAAAATATGAAAATCCTTATCAAAACATTATTTTTCAATAGTTTTAAGGGGTCCCGAACCCTCTGCTATAAATTTCCCTGTAAAAAAAATTAGAATTCGTAATACTGAAAACAGAGAATAGAAAGAGTAACGATTTATTATCACAACATTAAATTTAAAATTTAAATTTAAAATATGAGGTACCGGTCACGGTAGCCTAGTGATAGAGCGTTCGCTTCGTGATCGGGAGGCCCGGGTTCGATTCTCGATCGCGGCGCCGCGTCATACCTAAGACGTAAACATAGGTAGTGACTGTTCCTTCGCCAAGCGCTCGGCACTAGAAGTGAAAGTCACGGGTCTTTCGGATATGACCTTAAAAACGTAGGTCCCGTGTCACGGTAGGCGTTGGCACGATAAAGAACCCTCACTGCTCCATGGCCCTGAGTGCCGAGTATAGGTCTAAATTTGAAGCACTTCACCGGCATCGGTGACGTCTCCATATGAGTGAAAAATTCTCAAGAGGGACGTTAAACAATATACAATCAATAAAATATGAGGTGCATATGAAAATGATAATTAGTATCATACCTATTAAAATCATGTTAGAAAACATCATGAAGCGATGCTTCCGAAGTCAGAAAATCACAATGTTGTATATGATTGTAAGAAAAAAAAAACATCTTTGAGGAGGAGTTATATTTCTTTTAAATATTTCTTCATGTGTAACAATGTCATACAAACAAAAATGCTGTATTAAGTACTTGAAACATTAAACAAATTTTAAAATGGTCATTAAGAAGATACAACTTATTCATTTTATAAGGGTTTTTTTGGATTTAAATGTTCTATTGTAAAATATAATTAAACAATTACAAAGAAATTGGCAAAAGAAATAGAAAGTAATGTTTCCATCGTTTGTTAGATTTCATGCAGTTGACTCCTCAGAGGTCTCAATTAGGAAACTTTGATTTAGAAAACTGTGAGTAGTATTCATATTTTGTACTTTGAAAATTATCTGTCTTATCAGAGGGTCGGTATCCCTTAAGAACTTATTTTTAAAAAAAATAACAGCTTAACAAAAGCGAGGACCTCAAATGCTTTTTCCTAGACCCGATTCTACAAGAGGAATTTTTGAATAAATTTAAAATGTCTTGAAAATGAAAACAAGATATATTTATTTATTTTCTCCATTCGTTTTGTTGCAAATATATCCCGTTGTATATAAGCTACATACAGTATAATTACAAAAGTAAGAGTTTTTCTTTAGTATGATATTTCCCCTATTGTCTGTTTAATTTCAATTGTTAATCAAATTAACCTTAAGATAAAATCGTTTGTTTTTTGATATGCATATATCTCAAAATAAATTCATATTAGTACTTCACAATGCAACAAGATAAAAAGCAAACTCTCACATGTTCTCTTCACATAAACTCTTTAAAAAATGCCAGAAGAACATGATAAATGGATGTAATAAATGGATGTTATTACTTTTCAGCATTTTATATGGAAATTTCCTTTATTGCAAAGTTTTCCATCACACTTGATGCTGGTATTCTTTGCTTTGAGTTTCACTAAAAAAACAACAAAGATGAAGAATAAAAATTAGAAAAGAGTTATCAAACTTATACACATAAATATGATTTTTAAATATCATATTTTTTATTTTAATGTTTTTGGATTTCTTATCATTGATTTATTCATGAATTTATTTAGATTGATTAGAAAAATAAATAGTTATCAAAAAAGTTTTGTGAATAATTAAACATGATGACCATGATTAGATGGACATTTGATTTTAATTTATAAACTAGTAGATCTTTGTGATATTCCTATTTAATAGTGGTTTGAGCAAATGAAACGAAATATATATATTATCTCCCTTTAACCACTTTTTGATACGAAAATTCATTTTGCAAGACAAAAAATCGTTTATGCTTATTAGTTTTGAAAAATAACAATTTTTAATTAATACATACAATATGTCTGACAGTATTGTTTTCCTCTAACTTCTGTACATTCAATTTTCTTCGCCCTTTCGTAGTAAATCTTATGAATAAAAAAATGAAAGATTTTTGAAATAGAAATGCTAGAAATTTATAATATAAAAAAAAATCAATGAAAAAAAAAATTGAATAAAACAAATCAATGGCTATTATACTCACTCTATTCTTCATGGACAGACTCTGGATGGGAAAACCATCTCTGGTTTGTATGAAGACAAAGAAGCTCAAAGGAACAAAGTGAATGTCTCATCTGGGAAAAAAATGTAATTTTATAATATTTTTTATTTATACTTTCCGTCATTTTATATGGAAGTTTCCTTTATTGCAAAGTTTTCCATCACACTTGATGCTGGTATTCATTGCTTTGAGTTTCAATAAAAAAAATCTAAAGTGAAGAAACAGATTAGAAAAGAGTTATCAAACTTTTATACATAGATATGATTTTTAAAAATTATATTTATTTTTTTTTAATATTATTGGATTTCTTATCATTGTATCATTCTTGAATTCATTTAGATTGATTACAGAAATAGTTATCAAAGAAGTTTTGTGAATAATTAAACATGCTGCCCATGATTAGATGGACATTTGATTTTAATTTATAAACTAGTAGAACTTTGTGATATTCCTGACTAACTTATAGAGGTTTGAGTAAATGAAACTATGTATGTATATATATATATATATTCAAAAAATTATTTTTCCTTGGTATAGGGATAAAATAAAATCCAAATTCAAATGATAAACTCAAACTTTTATCTAAAGCGCTTTCGCCCCATGCGGGCTCATCAGTAGATTTGAAATTGTAAACAAGTTACATTATGACGTCATTCTCGTGACGTTATGTAGGCAACGTTAAACATAATGACTGTGACGTAATAGTAATCACAGTTAAATGAAGCGCACAGATAAAGTTTTACTGTTCATCTGATCAAAGTTAAGCGCCTATTATAAATGTACAATAATGGAGACATTTTATATAAAATGTACATAATAAAATAATTTGATATAAATTCCTTTTAACAGTTCAATTTTGGTTTAAACAGATTTATAAAATATTGTTCTTTGGCTTTCCGTAATTGTTCATTTTCCTCGTTTATTTTGTAAAAAGGAAATATATAAAAATGTCCTTTGCCACAAGAATCAAAGTGTTCACTACATGGCGTGTTTCGTATGGTCGGATCCTTAATCTGTTGTTTGTGCACGCGAACACGGTCGGCTAATTTGGTTCCGGTTTGTCCTATATAATTTTCCTCACATGTAGGACACGTCATACAGTATATAAGGTTTTTAGATTTACACGTCATAGAAGATTTAACGTCAAACTTCATTCCATTTTTAAAAATAATGGTTTGTCCGGTTTTTAAAACTTGACAGGTTCCGCATCGTGGATCCTCGCACTTAGAAACCATCGGTTTCTCGGGGTTCGATGTAAATTTGGCAGTGGTAAGAATCTTTTTCAAATTGGGAGGTTGACGCCTGCTGTGTAGTATATCCTGTGGTTTAATAAGGTCCCTTAATGTTTCTGATTGTTGAATAATAGGGAAAAATTGTTTGGCAGTTTTAAAGATGTTGTGATTTCTTGGGTTGTGGGTTAGAACAAAAGGGATCTTTTCGTTGTTCTCCTCTTCGTGATGTCTAATAGTACGTAATTCGTTAATGGGTATTTCCTTTGCCTTTTGTATAGCAGCCTCAATTAATTTTGATGGATATTTTTGTCTAGAAAGAAAAATTCTTAGTTCACACAGTCTTGTATTTCTGCGATCCTCATCAATAACAATAGTACAAATTCGCCTGGCCATATTGAATGGGATGTTTCGTTTAGTATGGGAGGGATGGCATGAGTTGAAAATCAAATATTGATGGGAGTCTGTGCTCTTGTAATAGAGATCCGTTATGATTTTTCTTCCCTCTTTTATAATAAGAATGTTTAAAAATGGCAATTTGTTTTCACTGATTTCCATTGTAAAATGCATACTTTCATGGAGCCGATTTAGAATGCTGTTAAACTGTTGTAGATCTTGTAGAGATTTTGTCCAAAAAATAAAACAGTCATCTAAATAACGTTTCCAGTTTCTTTCAATGTATGTACCAAAATCCTCTCCAAAAAATGTTTTGCATTCCGAAAAAAGTTTTTCCTCCAGAAAACCTAGAACGAGAGTTGCGTAGGTAGGGGCGACTTTCGTCCCCATTGCTGTCCCTTTTGTTTGTAGATAGTACTTGTCATCAAAAAAGAAATGACTATTTTGCAAAACTATTTTAAGTCCTTCGAGGATAAATTCTTTTGAAAATCTCGGCTGGATTACATCTGGGTGCTTGTCAATCCAAAAGGAGATGGCTTCTAGTCCTAAATTGTGGGGAATATTTGTATATAAACTAGTAACATCAAAACTCACTAATTTCGTATTTTCTTCAACACTTTCTGGAATATGGTTGAGAAAATCCATGTCGTCCCGAATAAAACTGGGTACTAATTTGCAGAAAGGTTTTAGTATAATATCTAGCAAATTGCTAAGTCTCTGTGTTGGACAAGAAGGACCAGCTACAATAGGGCGTAGTTTTAAGTCTGTTGGACGTGGCAATTTAATATAAGGTTCACTCATTTCCTGTATTCCGTTTTGAATTTGTTTAGATTTATGAATTTTCGGTAATCCGTAAAAGTTACTAGTTTTTACTTCAAAATTGAGAAGAAAATCTATCTCCTTTTTGGTTAAATTATCGGAAAATTTTGAAGTATATTTTTTCATTGTAGACATCGTCTTCTTGTCTTCATTCGAAGGTAGTTCCTTGTAAAAGTTTATATCATCTAGTTGTTCTAGGACCATATCTTTGTAGTGTTCTTTGTCCATAATAATAATAGTTCCTCCTTTGTCAGCCTCTTTTATGATAATAGTATCGTCACCAGTAATATTTTTCAGTGCTGTTCTCTCAATTTTTGAGATGTTATCTCGCACACGGATATCGCTGTGATTGTTGTATGCAGATTTTTTCAAACAATTAATGTAATCGTCCAAGTGTTTGTCCCTGTTTGATTTTGGTTTAAAATTACTTTTGTTTCGAACTAAGGATTCGTCATTGTAATCCGAATTCTGGAAGAATTCCCGGAGTCTTAGCTTCCGACAAAATTCTTCTGTGTCTTTGATTACATCTACGTCGTCTTTTTTAGGCGTAGGAGTAAATTTTAGGCCCCTTTTGAGTAGTTCTATTTCATCCGTAGAAAAATTCCTTTGAGATAGATTTATAATTTTGGGGTCGACTTTAGATGTTTTCTCTACAGGTATTGGAAGAGGAATTTTTTCATGCGATGTTTGCGAAAGTGGCCCTTCCCTAAAAAAGAATTACTCCCTTCATATTGCTGGTTCATATTTCTGTTATTAGAAATGTTGTTGCTCATTTTGTTTTGCTGTTTGTTGTTCCAAGGCGCTTTAGATAAAAGTTTGAGTTTATCATTTGAATTTGGATTTTATTATATATATATATATATATATATATATATATATATATATATATATATATATATATATATATATATATATATATATATATATATATACATATATATATGTATATAGTCTCCCTTTAATCACTTTTTGATACGAAAATTCATTTTGCAAGACAAAAAACCATTTATACATATTAGTTTTGAAAAATAACACTTTTTGATTAATACATACAATATGTCTGACAGTATTGTTTTCCTCTAACTTCTGTACATTCAATTTTCTTCGCCCTTTCGTAGTAAATCTTATGATTAAAAAATGAAAGATGTTTGAAATAGAAATGCTAGAAATTTGTAATGTAATAAGAATTCAATGATTGATTGATTGATTGATTGATTGTTTAACGTCCCTCTCCAGAATATTTCACTGATATGGAGACGTCACATTGCCGGTGAAGGGCTGAAAATTTAGGCCTATGCTCGGCACTTACGGCCTTTGAGCAGGGAGGGATCTTTATCGTGCCACACCTGCTGTGACACGGGGCCTCGTTTTATACGGTCTCATCCGAAGGACCGCCCCATTTAGTCGCCTTTTACGACAAGCAAGGGGTTACTGAGGACCTATACTAACCCGGATCCCCACGGGGAAGAATTCAATGAAAAAAAAATTGAATAAAACAAATCAATGGCTATTATACTCACTCTATTCTTCATGGACAGACTCCGCATGGGAAAACCATCTCTGGTTTGTATGAAGACAAAGAAGCTCAAAGGAACAAAGTGAATGTCTCATCTAAAAAAAATGTTTTAAACTAATGAATTTGAAAATGATACATCTTAATACATTACTGTATGCCTGTTAGTATTGCTGCTTCTTCTTGATTTTGTTCGTTCTACCCTTACCCTTTTTTAATAAGTAAATGTAATGATTAATGAGATTTATGAAATAAATATATACACATTTATATCAAATATCTAGAGTTACAATATAAAAAAAATCAAGGATAAAACAAATAATGAACAAATAGAAAACAAATATACTCACCATATCATGGACAGACTCTCTGTGAAAACTCTCTGTGTTTTGTATGAAAAAAGTGCAGCTCAACTGAATGTCTCATCTGAAAAAAAAAAAGATTTTCGTAATACGAATGTTTCACATAAAATTAAAATTGTTCATGTACTTCTTTTTACATTTATACAGCTGAAATTTTATTGCTAGTGTTTTTTTTTCATTAAAAAGTTACAAAATTCAGTTCCAGTTGTGATACAACTAACTTAACTTTTATTAACCTTCAGAATCTGTTTATAGACCCTTTTCCCATGATATATTTTGCCTAGGATTTATTCTCATTAGCTGCCATATTGTAGGGCAACATTCTCAGATCCTTTCATTATTCATCCAAGTTAATTTGATGTACTGGTTACAGAGGTAAAGATGACCATTTTGCGTTTAACTGAAAATTAAAGAAGAAAAACATGAGAAAAGAGTTTTTAAACTTACACACATGAATATTTTTGAAAAATTGTAATAAATATATTTATATTATTCATCTTAATATTCTGGGATTTCTTACCCATAGTTCTTCATTTATCATGTTATTTATGAAACAATATTTTCTGTTTCATCAATTTATTTATGAATACATGTATAACAATTTATTCATGGGTTCAGTTACTTTTTGCTTATCTTTATTTTGATAAAATTTGATAAAATTGGTTAAATAATTAAGGAGTAATCAAAGAGAGTTTATTTATGTACAAATGTATATAAATATTAAACATGCTGAACATAACTAAAAAAATATTTGATTTCAATTCATAAACATAAAGATCAAAAGATCCCCCCGTTATTCTTGAAAATTAGGAAGTGGTTTCAATAAACATAAAAAACATATTATACATTATCTCCCGTTTACAATGATTTTTAATGCATTTTGCAAGACAAAAAATCTTTTAAACTAATGAGTTTGAAAATAGTTCTTTTGAATACTTAACACATTCCTCTACAGCATTTTTTTTTCTTCTAATTTTGTACATTCCATTCTCCCCCCCCTTTTTTTTTTTTACAAAAATAAACACATTTAAAAAAATTGAAATAGAAATACACATGTATATCAAGCATCTAGATTTTAAACCACAAAAGGATTATATTTTGAACAAGACAAATCAAAACAAAAACGATGAAAGTCACTTTAACCATCAAGATAAGATTCTTTATGGTAAAACGCTCTCGGTTTTATATGAAGAAAGTGAAGCTCAAAATAACATCCGAATGTCTCTGTCAGAAATTAAAATGCTTTTTTATTTTATTTATAATAAAAAGGGACATGTACTTCTTTTGATATTTGTATAGCTTGAAACTTTTATTGCTAGCATTTCCATTAAAATGTTAAAAGGTTTTAAAATTAGCTCCAGATTACAGTTATGATACAATAAACCTTACTCAGAATGTATTGCATCATGTTCAAAATACTCAAAAAGAGACTATAACTTTACATACATTAGTTTAAAGAAATAACAACTTTGCCATATCATAAGGTGCAACACTACAGAGCTGATAAGAATCATACTAAGAATTTTTTCCGCATAGCATATATCCACAATGGATTTCTGGATGAGTCTCATTTCCTCTTTTAGGACTTCTAGGTCAAAGCATTCAAGTTTTGTTATTGTTATATCCTTCCTATAAAGATATAAAAAAAAGTATGAAATTGTATCCAGACAATTATTTATTCAATTATGCAATTTGAAATCGAGTATTCAAACACAATAAACCACTTTTCTAATTTGTTTTTGTACACATCAGTCTGTTCAAGGTGTGATGATTCTCAATTTTAAATTTACTACATTTTCTTTTATTCCCAACATTGAAAAAAATCAACAACGATAGTTTTAGATTCAAATGGATAATAAAATGAAATGTAAAGTGGTTCTACTATTTCAGAAATGAATTTGATGTATAACCATAATATAAAGAAAATTTCACCGAGTCAATTGGAAGGGCGATAATTTGTTATCACTGCATGAAATAAAAAAATGATTTATACATAAAAACAATATTTTGAGTCAACATATAAATTCATTTTAGAAAACATTCAAACGAAGCCCTGCTTTTTAAGTCAAAATATCCCATTGTTATCTATGCCTGTAAAAAAAAAATTGCATCTATCAGTAAGAACTTTGTTTAGGTTAATTTTTTTTAATAACTTTGAAAAATTATTGGCAAAAGATGATAGAATTTAGTTTTATTTGGTTTACTGAATGTACATTCAGGTATTTACTGACACAACAACTAGTGCGAAGGTGCAATTCTCTGATGACATTTTCATGTATTTGCATGTAACTATTAATCTGAGAATTGAAAATTGTGAAAAAAGTTTGCTTCCCTCCACAATGCAAGAAAAAATATTTTTTTTTTAAGATTAAGTACTGTAAATGCAGTTTAAATTGAATATCTTAGAAAGCAACAAATGTCAATGTTCTCTTCTATAGACTTGTCAGTCGGAAAAACAAAACGACTTAGAAGTTGCCTCATACGCAGAAAGAATTTTAGACATGGTGACAGTACTTGACGTGGTCGGAATAAAATACAAACTACACAGGTACTCTGGCCATCTGGGAAAAGTCTTTATCTTTTGAACATGTCACACAAAATATTATTCTTTTGTGACACAGGGAAAATATAAAATATAAAAGAATCAATATCAGAAAGTTCAAAATGCAATTTGGTATTCATGTCCGTTATTGAAGCAAATCCAGCAATATTTTATTTTCAGAAAGTGTATCACAAATTCATATCGAGTTAAGTATGCTGTGAAAAGCGCTTTAAAATTCTCGGCTTATTTAGATCACTAGTGGAACTTTTGACAACCCATTTCTTCAGGACTATCGGGAAGAATTTACCTTAGTTAATCACAGTAACATGTAATTGATAAAAAATTCTAAAGCAAATATATTGATCAATCTTTATATCATCTGATATTTTTAACATCACATTATTTATACCATAAATAACATTTCGTAATATATTAATATTATATATTGTATTTACAGGTAACATTGTACTTGATTATTACTCATTGCTTTGGTACTGACAAACACATATCCTCATCTAAACAAACATGGTTTTGTCGTCTTTTGACGGTACATAGTGCCGTCCTGTAAACATTGCACTCAAAAAATACGCATGCATGAACATCCTCTTAGACTTACACATGTTAAACAAATAAAGGGTAATACCTTAGTCCATAGTTAACTTCACGTTATTTCAATTTTCAGGTAGTATGAATTTTAATTATTTTAAAGATACCTGTATATATCTATGAATCATCTTTGAAAATAAGCATTTTGACCCTTGAAATGTTCAAAGTCTCTATGAAAATGCGTGCACATTATTGACAAAAGAGATATATCTGTATAGTCACTTTCCACCTTTTATTTGCTTCTTTGTTTTTATTTTTATTTTTTTTTTGTTCTTCAATTTTCATCGCGACTTCCCTCAAAGTTTTGATGTTGGTTCTTCTTCGCTCTTGATTTCAACTGAAAATTTAATAGGCATATTCATATATATAGATCTACATGCATATTTATTATTATATTTCTTTATGATAAAAGCATGATTTCTTATTTGAAAACTCTTCTTTAACAATACATTTCAAGCAATTACAGGGCACCTTTTTTCCTTGTAAAAGGACTAAAAAATAGCTTTGTTCTGGATTAGGCACAAGTTCTGTAAACTTATTACGCCCTCTCATGTAAATTACACATTTAAATTGTCACAGTTAAACAGTTGTTCTTGTTAAACAAATGAATTATAAATAGAGGGAAAATATTTATGCAAATAATTAACTTCAAACAATTTTAATTTTCAAATATTAATTCAAGCAGCTGAAAGAGTTAAACTGTATAGACATTATCTTTTGTTCTGAAATTTTTTCTCCTTTTTCTTTTTAAGGGAATTACTGTTCTTACAACGAACAGTTTCTAATAAACTACTCATAAAAATGTTCAATAACTGGGTTTTTTTTATTTTAAAGAAAGTGGAATCTTTATGTAATTTTTGCACGTGCATAGACTGCTTAACCTATGCAAAATCTATTATTTGCTTTTAGATTACTTTGTATTCTATATAATTGTCACTTAATGCATATAACAAGTCGCGCCTCAGAAAAAAACAAAGTAGCATGCTCCTTTTTTAGATGAGAAAAGAGTGTATTCTTTAGTGCATACATTTCTTTGATATCAATGCATTTCCGAAAAGAGTTACCAAGTCTGTGTTTAAAAATGCAACTGTGAAAAACGTTTGATGCATTTAAAGAATTTGACAATGGATACAATTGGGAATTTCTAGTCATATGGTGAACTGAGTATTCAAAAATGATATCAGTATTAAAAAGATATGTAAGTAATGTGAGCGATGTAGTGAGACGCATTCCTTTATCAGTATATCAAGAGGACGAAAACCAATATTTATTCTTAATTATTTCTAACATCACAGAAAAAATAACTCTCTTTACAAATTTTTCATGAAGATTTACAAATTTTAGTACACTATACACGTATCTACATTTTGATGTATGCCATCCTTTTGTTTCGTTTAATTTTATTTTAACATTAGTACTAATTGCCCTGAGAACAAATACTTTCACATTTGTTATTCCATTCCAATTGTACTTCAACTTCTTTATACAGAAACCAGAAAAAGACATTTATTAAATGATTATTTTTCACCCTGATTTAAAGCAGGAGAAAAAAAAATAATTATTCAATTATTGATAAAGTCAACATCAAGCATTAGATTTTAAAAATTAATCATCTGTTGTGTGCAGGAAGGACATTTAGAAAGAAGATTTTTACAAACAATATTGCTAATAGACACGTTTTAATCAGTTGCTCAAATGCTTCATCAGTAACTGTATTTAATAAGGGTAGAAAATGAAAATAGGAAGCCCTCAACCTCAAATAAAAATATAAAAATTTTATTGACTAGAATAAATTTGAACAGATGAATGCATAAACATGGTTATTAGTAGACTCTCTTATACAAGTTACCAAATGCAAGTCATTTGGTATTGGGACTTATTTTTAATGAATGAAAAAAATTAAATACGGTTTAAATCTGAGAAGTATTTAGCGTACAAAAACATCTAATATCTTGTATCTCAGGTACAAAGTAAGAAAGAGAATATAAGGAAAATCTTTTAAGTAAATAGTGTGTGTAACTGGGTCATTATAACTCAGAAGCTCTCTAACATGCATTTTTATATGTTGTACAGCTATAAACCCTACTATACATTCAATTCTGTCTTCAAAGGAGGGGCAGATGATAAAAAAACATATTTCTTTTTGTGGTACTCTTACATGAAAAAAAGAACAGAAACATTTACAGAAAAGTTGCTTAAGAAAAAAATTCTTTTTACTTCATGCATATCAATAAAACTCAGCTTTCCTGCATTGAACAAAATTCATTTCTTACACATGAATTAAGGGTATATCTCGTTACCGTGAAGCTATTTAAAGGATTGATATGTTTTTCACCCTTTCATCTTCAACGATAATTTATGTAATTTTTTTCCAAAAATGTCCTAAAATTCAAAATAAACGAAAGACACGTGTACGAGAGTTGTCCGTAAAGTTCTTGGACAAGCTTTAGCATTAAATAAAAGTTGAGTCATTGATATTTATTGTTAGCATATTTCTAATCGTTTACTTAATGTGAATTGTAAAATGTAAAAATCTTATTCAATTTCAAATGTTCAATAATGATTTTGTCTTCATAATTAGACTTGGAATGGAGACCCGGAGCACTGCAAAATTTTATTTAAAAATTATCTATCACTTTATAAATTTCAATTGTATTTTATAAAATTCTGCGGAAATCTGGATGACTTTTACATTATAAGGTTGGCAGAAATTATCACGTCAAACCTGCAAATTATGAACGTTCAAAGTTGTAAAATGGCTGAGCAATCAAAGTTAAGAACATATTAAGACAGTTGGAATTATTAAAAAAGGGACATTTTCGGAATAGGTGGGAGTGAGCAGTGATAAAATTCTGCGTAGACATCGGATAAACACCTGCAGAGACCAATACATTTTGTAAACAATCTGGAAAACATAGTAAAAGAAGCCGTACATTAGTATTTAAGCGGCATATAATATTTTTGGACGGAAGGAACAGTTTACAGGATGATATGCGTGAAGGAAAACCATCATTCCGAGATTGCAGTGCTGTAAAAAGTAAATTTAGTAACGTGACTTTACCATACTTCCGTTAATAAAACTGTTTTTACGCGGTTGTATGATTACAGGATATGAGACAAGTGTTGTTAAATATTATTATACGTATGAAACCTTAGCATTTCGTGCATTTTTATGACTGGTTAAAGCGATATAAGAAATGTATTGAGTTAAACGGTGACTCTATTAAGAAAAGTTACATGTACTCGTATTATGCTTTTGACGTGGGATAAGGTCATGGATTTTCATTTAAGTGCTCTCGGTATGAGTGTGTTTTTTTTAATCTGATAAAAATATATAACTATCTGTGCTTTGTATTTGTTGAAAACTTGAATATATATAAAATGAAACACCAATTAAATGAAAATAATAATTTCATATATATTATCAATGTTTGTCAGTAATTATCAATGTTGTCCACGGACTTTACGGATAGCGCCCGTGCAATACACAAATAAAAAATAAATAGCAATTTGAGGAGATTATTATTTTCAAGGGACACAAACAGATAGAATAGAACAGAAAGAATAAATTAATTATTGAAAAACAAAATAAAAACAAATCGGAGATAAAAGCATCGACTTTATACAAGTTAGACTAAGTCTTTAAAAAAATAAAATAAAGTATCTGTATTTTTAATGCAAAGATTTGCATATTAATATATTTTAAAGGTGATATTTGATTTAAGGTATGATTCTTCTCTGGTTTCTAACTAGATGAAATATTCTAAGTATACATGTATTTGTTAATATCTCATATATTTAGATTTAAAAGATTTAAAAGGTCATATTTTTCTTTTCTCATCAGAATTGCACAAATTTAAATAGATACGGTAAACTGAGTTTGAAATCTAGCAGGTACTATATTTTTGGCGGAATGGTATCTTTTTTCTGATTCTCACAATTATTGTAGAACAATGAATTTAGTTAAAAATTTTAAACAATCAAAGACTCCAAGAACTTTTCAAATGTAAGTTAAATTTATAAGAGACTAAAGTTTTGAAATATATTAATAAATATGATTTTCCAAACAATCTACAATTATGTAAGCTTTGAAAACTTCCGATCTAAGTATAGATATGAGCCAAAAATCGATAAAAAGTGCTTTTTCTCTCTAATTAAACGGTCAAAACTTTTTTGTTTTTGTATCATTTTGTCTTCTTTATCAAATGCAAAAAAAAAATATTCAAATATACACATACAAAAATAACAAATATAACCCGAAAATTTAAGAGAAAATAGAGAAAATTCTGATTACACAAAATCCATTTTTGTTTAACAATTTGTATCAATTTGGTATTATCATCTTATAGACTCTATATGGTAATATATTTTTATGCAAAAAGAAAAACATTAAATCATTGTATCGCATGATTGGATGCAGTAATTTTTTATTTTTATGTCCAGGGAAAAGGTAATGACCTGATCTTGACGCTAATATAAAACGGTCAAAACTCATCTAACTCATACCACCACTTGGTGATGTTGTCTTTTTGATTCTGTAAAAATTTCATTAATTTTTGAATACAATAAATACAGCTTTGTGCGAGAAGAATCCTACCTTAACAGCAATATTCGCTAGCATTATACAGCAGATAGTGTACTTATGTAAACAGCCACAGAATTTTAAGAAAAGCAACATATAAATATTTTACTTTATTTTCATTTTTAAGATATTTTACTTTACCTATAAACAACAATCACATGTTTTAACCATTAAAACATTAAGTATATATTTGTAAAGAATTTCGATCATAAAATAAAACAGAATATGACACTTGATGATCTGTAGAGATACTGCCAACTCGGCGCTAAGTAGGTCATTATATTGAAGAGTACACATCTTATTATGTATCCAAGGGACCAGATGTTTAAATTGAGGAATTATTATATGAGACTCAATTTGTGACTTAAAGTAAGTGATTTTATTATTGTAGATATATATATATATATATATATATTTATTTTCTTATTCAAGATGTCTGTTTGAGATTCAGAGTTTTTAAAAATATATCAAAATCTATTCAGGAAACAACGATGAACGTTTAACTGACAAATACGAGATGTATGGTGATTAATAGTAAATATTTTCCTTCATCTTATTTTTTTTAGATAAAACAACAAAGTTTACAGTAATATCATCAGTTGTACTCGGTAATATCATTTTCAACACAAATAATGCCAGATAATTTTTATTTGTTTTAAGGCAACGCAACGCACTAATACATTTAATACCAATGGAATATGCTCACGCCACATGAACATTTGAATAGCTTGTTAAGCATTTATTTAATTATTATT